AAAGCACAGTAGATTTAGACTCGTGCATGCTGTATAGTACAGCACACATGAGGCACCATATGAGAGTGCTGGAAATAAAGGTGAGAGAGCGAGTGATACAATAAGAGGAAAGACGGATATCCGGCCTCGTTTGGGCGTGAACATCATGAATGCCAGCACTGCTGAAAGAATAATGGCATGCAACTGATAATTGGGGAGAGCTTCCTAAAAAAAAAGGAGTTATACAAGTGCAAGAATCCCGTCATTGAGTCAGTTTGTGGCAACCTTTTCCTATATAGGGTCGGCTCTGCATGAGGAGTGCACACAGTGAAATCTAGCGAAATTTAAGCCTGATTATTGAAAAATGAGTAAAAAATAATTGTCTAAAAACTTGAGGATTATTTGCGTAATTTGTTTTCATAGCCTGCTAGCTGTACGATGGACGATGAAAATCCACTATTAATAATAATAATAATTCAGCCCACAATGCAGATGTTTAAGAAAAATGCGAAAATTTTGAAGAAATGATTCTTATTGTTCATGGTTCAACAAATCAACACTGCCGAATTAATGTTCTCCACAATTTTCTGTTATACGATGGTCCTATAGCGATTGTTAATTGGTAAACTGAAGTGTCATAGTTTGAATTTGTCTGTTAATCACGAGTTTCACAACAGTATATATTGTTTCAAGAAATTATTGGCTACAAAGAATTCGTTTTCCTGTTCCCTCTCGATTAGCTGAAATGAATGATGTAAAAATTATTTATAGCGCATTTTTATCGTTATAATAACGAAGTTTCTGTCCAGATCCCAATATAACAACTTCCTTGTAAAGATATTCTACTGTTTATAACGTTTCATGAAGGTTGGAGTTGCGGTTGCTGACCTGCGCAGAAAAATGAGCAAAAATGTTACACGGTGGACTCTGAAAATTCAAGGGACCAGAAAATAAAATCACAGAGAGAATTTTAGTTGTTGAGAACCTGTATAACATGGGGAGAGAACCCAGAAAAATTCGCGATACTGTATAAATAAAACCGTTGTAGACAAGACTGTTGTAGAACGTTCTTAAATCGCAGGAATTATTTTCTGGGTATAGTTCCTGTAATTCATTGTGCAATGTTGGGTTATAGTGCGATAGAAAATGGCGGGTTCCTCGGAAAAGATCCGTACCCCAAGGTATTCTGCAGCAGACTGTATAGTGAGAACAGCAGTCATCTCCAGCAGCAGAATCGCGGCTCTCTGAAATAATATAAGCTCATATATAAAAGAGAAAATGCCGAATCTCGACATGATAGACCCTTACCAGTGTCCTAATTACCAGTCAGTGACGAGT